CCTTCCTCTTTCCTCCCTCCTTCCCTTCCCTCTTCCCCTCTGAACCATGCACCACTTAACAACAGTCACCGTATTCAATAAATATATTAAAGATCCCTCTGGGAAGCAAAGGCTGGACTTGGTCCAGAGTGCCAGGAAGCGTGTCACTGACCTAATGAGGACATGGATTTGAGGGGGAAGAGAGAGAGAAAATGGCTACTCACTTCTCAGGGATGCTTCAGGATAAAATACAGTAAACAGCAAGAAATCCCTCCTGTCTAGGAGGGAGATAAAAGACCTGCAAGAAAGGTGAAGTGTAAGAGTGAAAGGAAATGGAACCTTGACCCACAAGTGCTCTTGGCTGCTCTCCATGTCTCCCTGTATCTGACATCAGTTCCGTGGTGGAGAATAACCCAGATGCCCCAAGTCCAAGTTCTCAGTCTTGCTGTAATAGGGCCATTCTTCCAGCCATCCTGGGTGAGGTTTCCTGACCCCCTGCTCGTTGCCTGCACCAGCTTCTTAATGGTGGTGGCTGCCTGAAAATAGCCTGACATGGATAGAGGGAGACTCTGGAAGCTGAGACAGTGATGATTGTGAAGAGCAGGGAGGAAAGAGGAGCCAGCTCTGTCCATCTGACCCAGCATCCAGCAGAATGGCACCTGCAGGTCCATCTTCCCAAGCTGCTTCCCTGCAGCACTGGGAATTCCATGTTTCCATGCACGGTGGTGGCACCCAGGGCATGTTGAATTCCCAGTGATCCTGGTGGTGTTGGTCTGTGCCCATTGTACAGAAATTCCTCCATTTTCCCTTTTACCAGTGCTTTCCCTTCAGGTCAGACTTCTAAACCAGAGGATGTGGGAAAACCTTGTCAATATTTTTCTCTTCTCTGCGGCCTAGAAAATTGGGAGGTTCGGACAAACTCCATCCAAAGGAAGTGTTGGCCTTATAATTAAGGGGGAGTAGGAGGGGACAGTTGTGGGTAAGAGCTGGTGCTGTAATGGGTTTTTCTGGCAGTAATGACCTGTTCCTGTAGCTGGGTGCTGCCCAGTGTTCCCCACACTCCACAGGATGTGTCTGGGTCCCTGGATTCCTGCAGTGTGTACCTGGGACAGCACAGGGAGCAGGTTGGCCAGGAGCTCAGCTGGGAATGAGGGTGACAGGATGTTAAGGAGACACCTGACTCACTGCTGGCCCCTTCCCCGGTGTTGAAATGTTGCAGGGACTGTTGGAGTAAAAGAGAAATGACAGGGAAGGAAACAACTTAAAAATTAAAAACTATCCCAGCTGCTCTTCCATTATTTTGCCAGCTCTGCCACTTGCTTTTCTGGGCTGGATTCTCATTCCAGTTGAGGCTCCAGAGATGCCTTGAATAGCCTCAGACCTTCCTGTTAGCATTTTTTGGGTTCACATACATGCATAAGCAATTTAATTCTTTGCACAGGCCAAACCCTGACATTCCAGCCCCTCCTGAAGCAGCAGGTTGTGAATTCCCCCTCGGGCCCCCCTCCCTGCTGACCAGGCTCTGCAGGGAGCTGTTCCTGTGGACCCATTTGGTCATTTTTATGGAACAATTAACTGACCACACCATGTCCAAGCCCTCAGGTGGGTGAGGAGGTGGGAGAGAAGTAGCAGCTGCAGCACCTTGTCTTGCCTGACTGTGGATTTTATTTCCTCCCCTCCTCCTTTTCTGTTATTAATTTGTAAGGGACTGGCTCCTGCTCACCACTCTTCATACAACCCAAGGACAGGCTTGTGTAGGCGATACTTTGCAAATTATTAGTAATTTGATTTCAATTGGATGAATAACCTGTTCAAACAAGATGTACATTAGGCTCAGAAATCTAATTGGTGATAACGGCCCAGCTCAGTGGAACGAGTGTTGGTTCTGCTCCCTGTCCCTCCCTCCTTCCTTCCCCCCCCCAAAAAAAAAGATAATGAGAATTTAATTTCATTCTCACCTATTCATTTGTCTGAATGTGAGTGTTTAATTATCCATCTCGGCAGACGGATGTTTCGGCCTCGCTGTGGATCCGGAGCCGTTCCTTTGGGATGAGCTTTTCCCACCCCCCCCACTTATCCCTCTCTCACAAAAAGTGCTCTTGGGGTTTGAAGTTGAGCTGAGCTGAGTCTCACCGTGAGACAGGGCCTTCACCTGACCCTTGGGATCGCTGCAGGAGCTGCACAGACCATGGGAAGTTACGTTTTATGGAAGGCTGAGATCATTTCACCCTCCAGCCTTGTGGCCCCTTTGGCAGTGCCATGGCTGGGAGGTACCTGCTGCCTTGGCACTGGGGTGGGATGTGGACCCTCCCACTATGGCACAGGTTGTGCAGTCCCAGGATGTGGTCAGGGAGCTGGAAGTGGTGACAGTTCCCAGTGTGGATGGGAGCTTTTAGATGAGGTATATTAGCTGGTATAGTATAGTTGTATTATATATTTTTCTAATATATATCTATTTTTATATGTATATTTATATATTTTTATATATTAGATGAGTATGTATATTTATATATATTAAGTATATATTATATAAGTATATATACTTATATATATAAGTGCATATATATATTTATATACTTAAGTATATAAGTAATATATATAAGTATATATATTTTAGGTATATATATGTTTTAGGTATATGTATATATATTAGGTATATATATTTTAGGTGTATATATATATTAGATGTATCTGTTTTTATATATATAAATAAAAATCTAAAAAATACATATAGCTACATTAGATATATATAATACAATATACTATATTATAGTATAATACATTATTATATTAGTCAGAGAAATGTTGCAGCCCTGCTTTGAGGATCCTTCATGCTTGAGGATCCTTCCAGGGTGAAAACCACTTTTGCCCTGCCAGGTAGTGCAGGGCAAAGTGTTTTATGGCCCCTTTTTAGGCTCTTTTAGGGGAAATTCATGTTGCCTTCAGAGGCAACTTACCTTGAACACAGGTTTTCTGAATTGAACTGTTTTCATCAAGAAAGGGATTATGGTGTTTTATTCAAACAAACATGGTATTTAATCAACCTATATCTCAGAGCCAAACCCTTTGGGGTTTTTGGGTTGTTTTTTGAGGGCACTGAAGGATGTTTTATGGACAGAGAAGCAGGAGGAGCACAAGGTTCTCTTTCAGCCTTGCAATCTGATTTCCAGCTGGTCCCACTGAGTTTGGGGCTCTCCCAACTTCCAGGGAGCAGCTGCCAGGGTCTGATTTGCTCAGTGCAAGGTGCTGAGCTGGAATTAAAGGGGGGTTTAGGAAGGTTTTGTGTGTGTAGGAGATCTTCTATTCCAGGGAGCGGTGCAAAATCAGGCTTATCACCAGCTCCACTCTCCTGTGAGCAGGACAGACCCTTCTGGGCCTTTCTTGCCTGGTTTGAATTTGCTTTGTTCCTGGGATTCAGATCAGCTTACCTGGGGAGTCCAAATACGTCCCAGAGTTTGACCAGACTTCAGTTCATGGAAGTTTTCCTCAATGCCCCACTTTGACCTTTCCTTTCCAGAAAGTTTTCAAACATTTCCTGAATTTTAACTTTGAAGAGCAACTGTTCCTGCTTTAAGCTCAGGAGCTGGGAAGAGCCTGCTCCATTTCTATTCGCAAATGAAATGCTGGGAAGGTGGAAATCTGGGATAGATTTCCTAAACTGCTATATATAAGGAAGAAGAATAGGAAAAACTAGGCTCATGTGGCACTACTAAGTGGAGTTCTGAGAATGGCTTTATTGGTGGATGTTAATATCTAGAAAAAGAACTATTCACCCCTAAAAGAATAACCAGACTCCCTTTCTGAGCCAGACCTGCAGGAAGAGCACAAAAGCTGTGCCATCACATTAGTAAAACTGGCAGCAGCCAGCATGTCTTGGATGTGAAATTATTTCCGTGCTAAGAGTTGTTCTCAGGTAATTTCAGGACTAGGCTGGAGCAGGAAAGCACTTAAACAGACACTCAAACCTGAGTGAAGTCCCATCGACTTCTCTGGTCATGGTGAAGTGTTTTCTGGCCCAATTCACAGCCCATTCAGACTGGGGGAAGGGCTCTCTCTAACTCCAGCAGGTTTTAGGTGAGGCTCCTCCTGCAGCCAGATGCTCCTCAGCCAGGCACCGCTGCTTTTTCTGCTGGGGGCAGAGGCAGGAGTTGCTGCAGGGCTGCACAAAATGTGCAGAAAGTGCCTTTGCTTTCTGCTGCTCGTGAATATCTGCGGCCCTTTGGGAACCTGCATCTGCAGGAGGTGATTTATCTGCCCAGCCAGGACCCAGCACGTTCCCTGGCAGGCTCTGGGAGCCGTGGGAGCGGGTTTGGGCGAGGATATGGACTCCAGCTTGCCAGGCTGGTCTCAGATGGCTGGGGCTGTCATCAATCACCGTGACGTGGAGACACAGTGGTGGTCACAGACCTCCCCTGAGCCAGGGGAGATCAGTGCTCCCTGGTTTTGAGAGGAGACACCAGACCGCAGAAGGTCAAACGTCGGCCTTTTCCCTCTGGGTTGGGGTGGATGCTGTCTAGTAGTAAAGGGAAAAAAAAAAAATCCATCAAAAAACCAACCCCCTTGGCTGCTCCGTTCATCTGGAATCTGCTATTGCTGCTTGTCAGCAGGCAGAGTGACAGAGTACGTGGAATTAATTTCCGAGGTGGGAAATTGCTAATAATTTATTTACAGCCGGGGCGGGTGCGGAGGAGGGGACACAGCACAGACAGATTTGGGTTTTCTTCGTAAAATGTCAACGCTGAGCTCGTTCTGCTTCCTCTGAACGTGGCCTGGGAGTTGAGGCAACATCCTGCAGTCCCTGCCCCTCTTGCATGCAGCAAGGGGAAGGTCTGGGGGTGCTGTACAGCTCACCCAGGGGTTCTGCCAGCTGTGTGCACGTGGGCTCCTCATGGGGTTGGGTTTGGGGGGCCAGAGGTGGGTTGTCATGGTGGAGCAGATCTTTTTAAGCAGCAAGAGATGCAGCATTCATTCAGCCCGTGCCACTGACCTCTCTGTCTGTTTGTTTGTTTGTTTGTTGACAGGATACACACCCACTGGGATTTAAACATCTCCTTCCGAGAGACCTCTTGCAGGTACCATTTTGGGGCACCCTCTTTGTATGGTAGGCTAAGAGTTTATCATATGGTTACTGGCATATGGATGCTGGGAGATGTAAATGAACATTTCTGTCAGTGCTGTGGGTTTTTTTTTCTTCCTCCCTTTGTTCCTCATTGTCCCCTTACCACGTCCCCTCTCTTTTGTTTTTATTTTGGGGAAAGTTGTGGGGGGAAACAGTCTCTTTTGTGTTGGAAGAGAGAATTGATTGGACTTGTAAAGAAAGCCCATTATTAGTTTTGATATGTTTACTCTGGTCCCAAGAAGGTGGGAATTCATAAATGGAAGGTAACCAGTTGCAAACATGAATATTCCTTTGTGACCTCTGGGTCAGTTGATGTCCTGAGCATGGTGCATTATCTTTATGTGTTGTCATAAACTTTTCTAATCCTTTAAAAATACAGCTGCAGAAATTTTGCACTAGGGAAAAAAGCAAACTGGAATTTTGAAATGTCTCTTTTACGCTGGATTGCCAGATCAGGGTGCAGCAGCTGAGCCTGGCAGGTACTGCCTGTTTTCTAAAACAAGAAAAATTAACCTGTGGAGCTGTGAAACTTCTTGGGGAGCGGGAACTGAAGGAGGTGGAGGGTGCAGGACAGTCCAGAGTCTGGTTCTGTGTGTGCTTCAGACATGTGGGTACTGTAGAAATCAGGAGCTGCTCCACTGGAAAGCAAAGAGCAATCCACTAATAACTTTTTGTTCTGCTAAAAGTAGTTTTGGATGCTTTTGTGCAAACTTCCTGTTCAGTAAGAGACTGAAAAAGGTAGGAAAATACTACTACTACAATTACTAGTGGACTAGAGGACCATTTACAGCCTAACCTGTGCTCCTGGAGAGACAAGTTGCATCTCTTTAGCTGAACACTGGAGTATGAATTAGGCTCAGTGAAGGTTGTGGGGAGAGAAGGGTGGGAAATCCATATGGATCATACTCCATCAGGGAACAGTGAGGGCAGAGGTGCTCACTGGTTTTAAACTAAGCACAGGCTTTGGCCCTGAAGCATAAACCCTCATAATTCCTCAAATTTACAACGTTAAGAGTGCAAAGCCCACCCTGCCAGGGAGCTCCCAGAGCCAGACCAGCAGGCCCAGCTCACCCAGCACTCATAAAAGCAGCCCAGGTTTGGGAGTGGCAGCCTTTGGAATAAAATCCTTGGTTTGCTGCTATGAGCTTTTGGGACTCTCAAATACAAAAGGATGGATTCCTTCCAGGCAGACCCTTTCATGATACATTTCAGCCCAGAGCGGGGTTTTATGGCTGAGTTATAAACTCCTAAAAGGCAGGTTTGGAATGGAAGTGCTGACAACAGCCCTAATTAATGGCCATGTGAGCAATGATTCTGCACAATGGCAACTGAGGGTGCCAACACCTTTGGAAATTAGAATCTCTATCTTAAAATAAATAAATAAAAAAAATTGAATTTGCAGAGCACAGAATAAAATAATGGTCTGATTTTTATGTCAAGTACACTTCTTGGGCTTCCTCAACTGAACTGTTGGTCCCCTTGCAGTTCAGCTCTCCTCCTGCAAGAAACATCAGTAATTCCTCTTGGGAACAGAAGTGGGGTTTTTTGCAGATTAAATGGTTAGTCCAGCTATCAAAAACTAGTTCAGGAGAAAAACAACCCACGTTATGCTGCCTGGCAGAAGAAGTAATTTGTGTTTATGTGTCAGCACGGAAAGAGGTTTTATGTATTTAAGTGACCTAAATTGCCACACAGCCCTGAGAAACATCTCAAATCCATCTAAAATCCATCATGGGATGGCAAAAAGGTTTAGCTGACCTTTGTTCTCAGTGACCTGCGTGGCTCAGCACATGGGTCATCCCAAACCTGTGCCAGGGAATCGTTCCAATGCCCCACCCCTGCAGGAGTGCACAGCAGCCACCACGGTGCCTTAAATCCAGCAGGGCTGAGAGCTGCCACCTTAATTCACCTGCCTCTTTGTCCTGAGTTTGTCTTTGATCTTCCTTTCAAGTTGTCAGAGGATACCTGGATTCATTGGATTTAGCCACCTTGGAGCTGCTGTATGAGTTGCCCCTGGATAAAAGGACATTTAACTGGGGACAAATCATTCTATACACAAAGAACCAAAGGCTCAGGATAGGGGAATTGTCCTGAAAGGGGAGATTGGGATCTCTCTGTGTCTTGCCAGGTGCTTTGCTCCCTTTCCTTTTAAGCTTTGAAGTTAATACAGGTTTGAGTTGATGTTTACAGCTCATTTTCCTTCAAAATTTCCTGTTCAAGGTAGAATTTCCTTGTATGGACATACTGTTCCTGTAATAATTTGCTGAAATATGGTGAAGTTGGTCAGTGAATGATGCCCTTCTTTTATTTCAAGACAAGCCTGTCCAATTTTAAAGCAGCAAACACAAGGTTAAAACCCAGTCTCTGCCACAGCAGAGGGATTACCTTGCTGAGGGGGAGGCACCTCATGGAAATAAACCATGGAATAAAAAGCAGTTCTGGGGAGGAAAAGGATTTTCTTGCTATTTGTTGCTACTTGACGTCTTGAGGGAGCTGCAGGGAGGTGAGTGAGGAGCAGATAAAAGGCCATGTGTGTTAATACCACGTCCTGGTGCAGCTCAGGGTGGAATAAATGCTTTGCCCACCTGAGAATTTCAAGGCACTGCCGGTGCAATTAAAGCCATCCCCGTTTCCAAGGAAGTCAAGGGATGTTTGTGCTGCCACTTAGGAAAGGAGATGGTGTGTAATTTGGTTAGAGCTGCATTGCAAAGGCAAGGAGCAGAGCAGAGAGCTGAGGAGGCATCGAGGTGTTCAGCACATGCTTTGGCTTTTTTGGCTGCACAGTGAGGAAGCTTTGCCAAAATATCCAAGGGAACCTTTCTACCCTCAAAGTCCTGCACTGGTGCAGGTGTAAAACAGTGTCTCTGTTTTACAAGAGAGTCTCTGCACTGCCACATGACCAAAAAGCTCCTCGAGGGTACATTTCAAGCTTCCTGGGCCAGCCAGGGGATAGTTTTATCCAGGTATGTGCCACGTGAAGGCTGCACAAGGAGCTGGAAGGGAAACAAAGGCATCATTTGCCCAGAGCAAATAAAATGCATTTAACAACTAGAATTTAAACAAGAGATTACAGTGGTATTTACCCAGCCTTCCTGGAGGGACATAAATGTATTAGGATGTATTTTAGACAGGCAGACATTTGGTCAGGAGTCTGGGGATCCATGTGTGCATGCATGTTTAAATCTGACTAGAACATTCTTTTTGGGCCTTTCCACGTTGATTTAATTTAGGCATAAACACTTGCTCAGGCAGAACTGGGTTTAAACAGCAGTGCTGAACTGCTTAAACTGGAGTGTTGGATGTGCAGGTTTGGCTGGTGCACACCTCTCAAATAACTGTATTTAAGGATGGATGAGGCAGGTTAGGCAAGAACAAAAAAACCCCATGAAACAAATCAGGCCGAGTGGAAAAAGCAGGTGAGAAATAGCTGGGAAACGGGCTTTGGAGAGACACACAGGGAGAGAAGAGGAAAGCAGGAGAGGAGAATTGAAAAGTAGATGGTTCTGAGCATGTCAAGGCTGATCCTGAGTCAGCAGAAAGCGTTGCTGTGTGACACAGGTAACGTTATCAAGTGCCAGAGCATCCTGCTGCTCTGCTCTTTAAGGATTGATATAGGGTGGCTTCTGGGCTGGGCTGTTTATTCATTTATTTTTTCCTAGCAAGCTCTTGCCTTTTAATCTTGGAGACCTGAAATAGGTACTAAAAGGTCACGAGAAGTTTTTTTAGCAGCTGGAAGCTGGATGTGACCCCGTAAACACCCTGCAGCCTTCAGCATCTGCTGCTGCCAGAGCTGCTGCTCGTCAGATAAGAGCCTTGGAGTCACAGCAGAAAAACCAGACAGTGGCAGAGGAATGAGTGTCTTCAAATAGGGACCTGCCTTTGCCTTTTCTGTGTCACTCACTGTTCCTGCCTCGTAGCCCCAGCTGGAAAAGCTGCTGGTGAGCTGAACCAGTCAGGTTTTGCCCATCGGATTTAAGTCAGGGCAGGAGAGACCAGGGAGATACCAACTGTGTGTAGACCTGCAGAGCTGTTTCCACAACTCATGGTGACTTTGGAGGACAGCTTTGAAGCTTGTTCTTGACTCCATGCCATTGAAAACTGTCTTGGTTCAAACGACCACAAAAACTCAGAGAGATCCCAGTGAGATCCCACAGAATGTGTTAACCATGACTTGCACTGGTGTGGGGAGGACATTTATTCAACATGAGGCTGAATTCAGCCCTCCCAGGTTATTTCTGCTGTGGTTTTGAGGCAGAGACCGCTTAAGGAAACATTTTAATCCTCATCTTGGTGGAATATCCAGAGGACTCTCACCTTTGGAACTGCTGGAGCTGTGAACCAGGACGTGCTTCCTGCAGGCAACGCCAATAAATACAAGGAAGCTCTTGGCTAATGCCATTGTTGTTGGCAGTCAAGGCATGGCTGTGTGGACACAATATGTTGGAAGGAAAAGTCTTTCCAGGTGGGTGAGCTGGGTTTGTTCATCAAACAGTGCCATACCTGTTTGATTTTAGACAATGGACGCCCAGCAGGTAAATGGATGTGCTCTTTTTTGTTTGACTGGGAAAGGAGAGGTAAAGTAAATCCACACCAAATCCACACAGTGAAGAGACATTCACAGGAATGTTCTGTGTCAGTGAAGAGCAGCCAGGGAAGGTTCAGCCAAGGAGTGAAGCCTCCATGTATTCCCGTGCTCCACACAGGCTGCTGGCAGGACATTCCCCAAGGTCCGTGGGAGAGGGTGAGTTGGGCCTTGAGATTTTTGAGGAATCATCCAGAGCAGAGATACCTGAGAGGCTTTTTCTTCTCCCTTTTCTGTAGCAGTAAGGCCAAACAAGGAGAAAATTAGTACCTGTTGGAGTGCTGAAGAGTATTATTTAATCTGAATTAATTATTTCATCATTATTTCATTAGCAGTACTTTTTGCTCTTACATTCATTCCCAGGAAGATGT